TCCCTCAGATAGTGCACTAAATTCTTCTGACCCAACTCACATACGCATTCATTTGCCACCCCATTCGTAAAAAATGATCCCTAGTACAGATATGTCCACATCTAAGTCGGGTGATCAAGTTAATGTATCTACGTGGATTTATTATATTATTAAACCAAGGACGAGAGGATTTAGGGCTTATTTTCCTGAAATATATATTCCCAGAAGTAGACTTAGGACACGGGGGCCACGAAATTTGCAAAATTCAAACTTTAATGCATCTTTAGCCACTCTATCTACCAATTCATTCCCTCTTATACCAGAATGTGAGGAATCCACATGAAACTCAGTACACCACCTTTACTCTTAATCTTATCAATCATCAGAATAATTGGAAGCACCAACTGATGTGTTTTTGAATTACTCAACCTATCCGCAATGTCAGTTAGTATATTCCTTCCATCTGAGACAATCAAGGCCCAGTCAATACCATTGAAATAAATATACTTTAAAGCAGACAATATTGCATATGCCTCACATGTCTTGGAAGTAGAAAAATCGTTTATACGTACACCAAAATCAATAATTTCAGAAAGAACAAAAGCACCACCAGCAATGCCATTAACTTGTGACTTAGCCCCATCCGTGTAAACAACTGTAAAACCAGAGTAAGTGTCTCCCATGACTGTTTCAAATCTTGAGTTAGGATCAGAACAATTCTTTATCTCGTTTCCCGTCTCCAGGTCCACCTGGACAATTTCAGTCAATTCCTCGCCACCCAAGAAACCATCTGATACATCCGTAACCAAGACCGAGACACAGTCAAGCGAGGATTGTCCCCTCCGAAATCCAAACTGATTAGGTGGCAACCAATTTTTATTCTCTACTAAGTTTTCCAACCTTCTATGGATGAGTCTCTCAAAAAGCTTACATATATTCGATGTATGCGAAATAGGTCGGAAACCTTTCCCAGCTCTCTTTTGACCTCATTGTCTATAACACGATATCGTTCACTAGATTCCCGACTCTGGTCAGAAAGAAAATCTCGTCTTGACCCTCTTCTCCTCTCAATTATAGAGTTACACTCGTCGTCCCACCACAGCGGCTGGGATTTGCGATTACCCGGATTATCAGATGGATAATAAGCACCACTTTCAATAAGTTTAGAGACAATTTGTTTAGTCATAGAATCAAGGATCCTCTCCTCTACCCAACTCCGCCACTAAATCGTTCGCCACATCAGACATACTCCCCAGAAATCAACCCAGGAGACAGGTGTGAGCTTCAGTCTCTTAGAGAGCGTTCTGACATGCTTAGGCATAGCGTCAAGGGCCGCACTTACCAAGAGATGATCTGAACCATACGAATCCTGAGTTACATCAATGCTTGAAAAACATGTCAACTGCGTCGATACAAGAACTAGGTCTAAGTTATTTCGATATCTACTCGAGATATCCCCAAGTGTAGGAGTTGAGTCATTCATATAGGTGTCTATTATCTCCAAAAAATGCAGCCCCTAATCGAGTGATTTCAGCCACCCCACGACATTGCATGAGCATTAAAATCCCCACATTATCAAATTAGCTGGATTTATGTCCTGCATCACTTCATGCCAATAATCTAGAGGAATATTAACACCAGAGGGGGGAATAAATCGACACAAAGACAACGTTTCCCACCTCAGTCCGGTCACGAATTGCTACCACATCAATAATATTTCTATATCTACCACTCAGTTGTATTGGCGCGATAATGAGGTTCTTTTCGCCAAAATCATTGCACCACCACCCAAATTATTACCAGTCCTATCACAGCGATAAGTATAGTAATCATAGATCGACCAATCAGAAACACGATCCGACAGCCAAGTTTCCGAGACAACCAGAAGATCCAATCGGTATGCAGAAAGCAATGCCTCCACCTCCGTTTTCTTATTAAGTATGCTATGTGTATTCCAATTGCCATATTGTAACTTTTTTGAGCGCATTGTAAATTTATAACCTCCCAATTCATGCAAAAACAACAAATCAATAATTCAAGCAAATACCTCACACGAATACCACTAAAGGTACGGTCACACGACTTTTGGAAAAACCATTCATGTCTTTCTCTCTCCTAAGACAGAGGCATAAGATTGTCTCACTCTGCATTTTCTTACATTTCCCAAAGACGGAAAATGCAGAGTGAGACAAACTTATGCGTCTGTAATAGGAGAGAGAAAGACAAGAATGGTTTTTCCAAAAGTCGTGTGACCGTACCCTAATTACCATTAACCATTAATTAAATAATATTTAGAATAATAAGTATAAAAATTTCAACAACTAATTTACTACTCCATCAACGATAAATTAAATAAGTTAATCAACTTAGGATATAACTAAAATAAATTCAATTGGTCTAAATATTGACAAAAAAGGGGATCAACATGGAATAGAGACAAAATCGTGAAATCTACAAATCCGAATCCCTTCTAGGAACATCTTCAACATGATCAGCATCAGGTACAAGACATATAGCCTGAGTGTTCACCACATCAATTTCATTCGAACTCCGATTCTCCCTTTCATGTCCTTGAACTGCCCCAGAGGGATTATCCCCCAAAAACATATTCTCAATTTGTGATTGCGAGATGATCGTACGCAAGCAACAAGGATTGGACATATTCCTTCCTGGCTGATCAGATGCATGCAAATTTGCTGAAAATTCACCCATGTTAGAGACACCCTCCTCCAAATCAATACTAAAACCACCATTAAGAGGACGATCCGCAGCCAAGAGATAATCGGTCAATGCTACATCCATTCGAGAAATATCAGGATCCTGAGGATTCATTTCCTCCTCTGCACCAAAGGCAGAGTTTTTTCCTTCATTATGATGATTTGTATCTGAGTCAAGAACATTGACCTCTCTTAGAATGTTCGAACAAACTTCCAGAGCTAGTAGCCGCACATTTAATTAGTTCTTTCAGACAAGTATTACATTACATTATCAATATCATTCAGATCACATTGGGAAGCCAGCTTTCAGCACCTCAGAATCGAGACAGCAACCACAATTCCCTTTGATACCATAGCAATTATACTGCAGTTAATTGGCACTAGAATGTATTAAAATGCCGGCAAGCACGTGGCTAACAAGCTCCTCTATTAAACTTTTACAGTTGCAAAACCAACAATTTAAATAAAATGAAACACTTTACTTTTAATGTGGCCTAAATTCATAGCGAATATACACACAAAACTGTTATGTAAGGCTTTTTCACAATTCAAGCCAATATTAACAGCACAGAAATATATGTGAATCGGAGAAAGACGTCCGATCTCTTCAACAGTACAACACGGCAGTGATGCCAGGCTGCACACCAATTCCACTCCCACCATGCCGCCCATGCGCCTCCCTCCATACGGCCACACACACAAATATAAACCGTGCGCTTACTCTTGTAGGTGTGCCTATTTTTCGTTTTCCTCATACTCGACCGCTTCAGGTGAGCGATTATGCCTGTTTTTACCGACAACCGGTTAATTTCACGCGCGAACTTTTGAATTCTTTAGAATATAAATATACTTTTATTAATGTTTTTATAGATATTTATTAATAAATAATTAATAAACATACTTTATATATATATATATATATATATATATATACTATATTATAAATATAATATATTACATATACATAATGTAATATATATATATAGTACTGAAAAATAAAATCAATGGTGATAATAATTAATATTAAATTATGTATTAAGTATATACCCTACTGAAAATCCCTGTACAAGATCTTGTACAATTTCCTGTACAGGATCAGCAACTGAACTTGTACAAGTTCTGACCAGTTCCTGTACAGGAAAATGCATACGAATTTGGAACAAGTTCATGTGTGAGATCTTGTACAAGAAAATGTACATGATCTTGTACAATTTCATGTATAAGTACGTGTACATGAACACGTTCATGTTCTTGCACATGTATAGTTGTAATTTTTTTTTTTTTTTTAATAAAATTTGAGATTTTGATAATTTTTAACCACTAAGATTCGTAACTCATGCATGCTAAAAACTATTGCCCAGCTGTAAAGGTTAAAGTAAACTATTGCGCAACCTTTGAAGTTTTTAATTTTTAGTTAAGAAAAACATGAATTAACATGTACAAGATCATGAACGTGTTCATGAATAAGTACTTATACATGAAATTGTACAAGATCATGTACATTTTCTTGTACAAGTATCTTTCTTATACAAGATCTTGCACCAGATCTTGTACAACATGTCACACATGAACTTGTTCCAAATTCGTATGCATTTTCCTGGACAGGAACTGGTCAGAACTTGTACAAGTTCAGTTGCTGATCCTGTACAGGAAATTGTACAAGATCTTGTACAGAGATTTTTAGTAGGGAGAAATGTAAATCCATAATTATTATATTACTTTCTCCAAATTACAAATACTCAATAAGTATAATTTTTAAATAGTAATTTTCACAAAGGTAACGCTATATCCTCGTTTACTATTGGCTTATTGTAAAATTTAGTATTATAATATCAAATTTTACAAACTAAAGTTTCTCCGTGTAGCTCCAAAACTGTAAAAATGAATGGGAGACACGCTTTTTTCCAAAATTTCGAGTTTTTGTACTATAATTATATTAAATTCGATTCCAATCGGGTTCGCTATAATTTTCCTTTAATCTACTCGCAAAAATACGTATGTATTTTAAATTTGAGCCCTATCGGTTAAAATGCCTAGATTTTAGAGGGGGGGCAAGATTTTGTGGACGGACATGAGTGAAACCATAAGGGTTCCGTTTCGGTTCACTGCGTGAACGGAACTCTAAGAACGAAGAAATTTTTAATTAAATAACAATTAAATTTAAAAACTTAAAAAAAATTTTTAAATCAAAATAGAGAAAAAAATTTAATTAAAAATATCAAAAATAGAAGCCTATTAAGCTGTAACATACATATTCTAATTAAAATTTGTCCTATTTGATTCAAAATAATATTTTATGTTTAGGCCAGTCCCGGACAATCGTCGACAAGAATTTCCATGTTAATGAAAATGGAGAACATGAATGTAGATGATGAAGTGGATTTAAGAAGTATAGATAAATTATGTAAAAAAATTCAAAGTTGTCTCGCAGTACCTCATAAGATATCTGAAATAAATAATGCCAAAGAAGCGTCACAATTAACAATGCTATTATCATCGTTGTCAGTTCATCGTGGACTTGTTACCCCAAGGCAATCTTTAAATTTAGGAAAAGTTGATTATTACGGTCGAGCAGCTTTATTAACATCACTACTACAAGGACTGGGTCAAAAAGCATACGTGCTGTTAGGTAAAACTTATCAAGCAGGCCTATACAAAATTTTGGATTTTGTCAGACCCAGAAAACGGAATAGTCATTTCCGATGTAATTTGTCAAGCTGAATCCAAAAATGATAGTAAAATTGCTTTATCACGACAGCATTTTAGGATATTCTAAACTAATGGCGTTAAAAATGTCGTTTTTGGAAAAATATTCGAAACTCCATAAAATCTACAAAAAAAAATTTTTTATTCATTGGTCCAAATATCAAAAGAAAGTACTATATTTCCTCTTTCAAAATTCTCTTGGCACTGAAACTCGTTACTCAACGGTTTTTAAGGTCGCTGATTACGAATACGATGTGAAATTTTCAAAATTCAAAATGGCGGATCTAATATGGCAAGTGACTTTTTCAATATTTAATGCAATTCATTTGAAACTCGTTACTTTGGAGTTTTCGGGGTCGATGATAACAAATCTTATAAAAGTTTTTCAAAATTCAAAAGGGCGGACAGTTATCTTATTTTATCTGACTTTAGATTTGCAATGGATGACTTATGCCCGCCATATTGGATCCGCCATTTTGGATTTAAAAAATCTGACATCAGATTCGTTATCAAAGAACTTAAAAACCACCAAGAAAAAGTTTTATTTAAAGTAATTTGCAATTTTATTTTTCTTTTTTTAGAGTTTTTAAGTCGTGTAACGTAAATTTCTAATGGCTGTATCTTAAAGATAAAAATTGTATCGGATCGAGCCAAGAAAATTTTGAAAGGGGAAATATAGTAATTTCTTTTGAAATTTGGATCAATGATTAAAAAAAATGTTGTAGATTTTATAGTGTCGAATATTGCCAAATACGGCATTTTTCACGCTTTTACGTTAGAATATCTCAAAATGCTGACGTGATGGAGCAATTTTGCAGTCATTTTTAGATTCAGCGTGATATAAATTACATTGGAAATGTGCTATTCTGGTTACTGGGTCTAAAATTTGTAGTCCTGTGTTATTTTTAAAGTTACATAAAATAAAAAATTTTGCTTCTGAATTTCTTCGCTTTCACCACTGACTATATTTCTAAATTTACAAGTATTTGCTTCACTCTAAACTTCCACAAGGCATAATTGTCTTTATTCAGTTTTTCAATCTGAAAACTGTTCTTAGTTGTTCACTTAAAAATTTAAATTCACTTGAATTTTCACTTTTTATTTTTTTAGGTTCATCTCAGATAAGAAAATGGTCTGCATTTACTTTAACTCTTAATGAAGATACTAACGAAACTATTATATGGGACCCAGAGAGTGGAAGCTGTAGTGAGCTTGGAGAAAGCGGAAATTTATTGATAAAATGTTTTCGCCTAATCAATCATGAGAATGTACGTAAGAGAATATTCGTGTGCACATTTTTCTCATCAATATCCATTGCCTTCTCAAAGTTTCTTAAAAAGTATAATTTTATAACTATATAATGTGAATAATAATAATAATTATAATATAATAAATTAATTACCATTATTCTCATCGTTAAGCCCTGTCTTATTGTTTAGAATATAAACAGCTTTAATCTTTAGGATTTTAATTTTCAGATTTGGGAAAACACTCAAACGACCATATCACCAGTTGATTTGAACTGTAATCCAAAATTAAATAAGGACTGGAGACCGCTTACTTTTAATATTCATTTCGAAGATCGACCGATTCAAATCTTAGAGCTTCATACAACGCACGAGACACAATTTTCAGAATTACAAAATCAAATTGAACAACAGATAAAAGAGAAATTGTGTCAACTTCGTAAAAAATTGGGTGTGCCAACAGTTTTCAATCGTCATGCATCCACAATTTTGCAAGAATTTCTTTTAAAAATTAATTCAGATTCATATGTAAAATTTGATAAAACTGAACTAAAGCCACTCTATAGAGCATATTATACTCATGGAATAATATTAAAACTTCGAAACATGAACACAGAAGATATATGCAAATCATTATTGTCGACTAAAATTCATTTATCTTCAGGTTCTGTAGAATATGGTCTAAAATGTCATTTGCAATATCATTTAGGTAATATTTATACAATTTGGCTAGCTCTAGTTATTTTAAAAAAACGAAAATAAGTTGAAATTAAGTATCCAGGATGATTCGTACGAAATTTGAAATTCGTTTCGAATTTGTGTTAAAGTCTTATAAGAATTCATGTGTCGTTTTGAAACTGAATTCGTTCGTAGTTCAATCGTAATTCGTGAAATTTTATTAGAAAAAAGGATACAGAATTGATAAAAAAAAAATATTCCACATGGAAATTCGAATGGAATTCTGTCCGTAATATATACGGTAAATTTTTTAAAATTCAAGTTCAATTTTTTGTACGAATTCCGTAGGTTTTTTTAAAAGGAATTACTCTCGTAATTTTTGTTATAAATTTTTCTTTTTAAATTCAATCATTTCTTTTTTGTAGAAATTTTTTTTTGATATTTGTGTGAATTACTGACGAATTTTCTTAATAATCTTTTTTTAAATTCCGCTAGAAATTCGAAATAAATTTCGTAATTATTATAGGCCGTAAGTAAACATCTAAATTATATTGCAGAAAAAAAATTTTAAAAAAATTAATAAGTTAATATTATTTCTGGTTTGTTAAATAAATTTTTACATTTTATTTACAATTTTTGCTGAATTTATTTCTTTAAACTCGAAAATTAAATTCTATATACACAACTTATATTATTTGCTTATTAATAAAATTCTTCTATTATATTAAGTTAAGAAATTTCCAAAAGCGACACCGACACCGTGACCTCGACACCATCCTTGGAAAAACTATTTTGACTTATTTTCAAATAAAGCAAAATACTTTACCATATGCTTTTAGAAAATCTTACATACTTTTTTTAAAAAACAAGTTTTTTCAATTTTTTAACCCGAAAAAGGGTTATTTTGCATTTTCATTCCAAAAAAGGGTTATTTTGCAATTTTATGCAATTTTTTACGAATTTTTGGATATATACCTTTAAAATTACTCTATTTTTAAAATATTAGTTATAAACAATTTTTTTTGGTTTTTTTTATTATTTATTGTTGTTTTTTAAATTTTTAGTTAGGAACCTATAATATTGTGCCTAATTTTAAGTGTCATTGAAATCAATTGTTTTTAACTTAATAATTTTAACATTTCTTATTTTTAATCGAAACATCTTCTATTATATTAAGTTAACTAATTTCCAAAAGCAACACCGACACCGTGACCTCGACACCATCCTTGGAAAATCTATTTTCACTTATTTTCAAATAAATCAAAATACTTTGCCTTATGCTTTTAGAAAATCTTACATACTTTTTTTTGTAACAAATTTTTTCAATTTTAACCCGAAAAAGGGTTATTTTGCATTTTCTTCCCAAAAAAGGTTTATTTTTCAATTTTATGCAATTTTTTACTAATTTTTGGATATATACCTTTAAAATCTCTTTATAAAGGTTTACTCTGGATAATAAAAATAAAAAGCGATATTTTAAAAGGTTTTTCGATTTATTATGAACATTTTTGCAAAATTTCCATGTGTTTGTGGGGCAATTTACAGCAATATAATATAATATAAAATAATATATTAATATATAATATAATATAATGAATATTGTTGTTATAATTATAATAAATTAAAACATTTAATATTTAACAATTGTCATTTCATCCTTGAATGATACTGATCAAAATTAAGATAAATTTTATACAATATTAATAATATATTACTTTAAAACATAAATTATGTATATAATATACATAAACTACAGTAAGTAAACAACAATAAGTACAACTATAACCGAGGGAGCGTTAGCGAGCGAGGAATACATCGCTAGTTTTAAATTAAACTAACAAGTAACAAAATTGTTAAAATCATCATTTTCCCGCTTTGTGCAGCATTGAGAGGATTTGCAGCTATCATCTTTGCAAGTGATCAGACATTCTAATTTGTTGAAATTTGATATTTTCTGAAACGAATTTTATTTGTTTTAAATTGATTCAATAGATTTTCTATGTCAAAAAGTTTAGTTTTCACAATAGCTTTAAAACATTTTTATTTAAAGAAATATCGAAAAATCATTAGTAGGCAAGGGGGGGACCAATTAATAATCCTAGATTTATTTACCTTATGAAATTCTGGTTGTACAGTTACTTGTGTTACACCTATTTCAGCGAAGAATGATATTACTTCATCTGTGATATTTCTGTACACCTGTAATGTAGAATTATAAATACAACGCACAATTTTGTAATGGAGTTATTATTACTTGGGAACTTTAATTAATCAATTTAAAATGGATTAATTCCATTTTTGAGTCTCGTGAAAACTTTTGCATCCTAATTTTAATAATAGATATAGGTTTCTGTCAGATTTCCGCGATTATTTACAATTTTTGTGGTTTTCCTGAAACCTATGTTACAATCAATATAAAAAACACAAGTTCCTCTAATTAACATTTCAAATATGACACATTAATTGTTGTGGGCGTTCAACCGTTAAAATATTTTGTGAATTAAATTTTTAAATGGATAGTGATCTATTTAGAATAAATAATTCTGATTGAAAATATCAAATAAAATGTCATTTTAGATACTCACAGTTGAATCCAAAAAAATTATGTGGACAGTAGATATAACATGTTCGTTTCTTAGTTGCCAAACATGTAAATCATGTATGTTTACTATACCAGGAAATGCTTCTAACGCTTCTCTTTTAAGTGATTGAATGTTGATATGATTTGGAATGGTTTGCAAAAGAATGAGACCCGATTCCTTCACTGAAAATGAAATTGTCTTAAGTCTTATTTTAAATATTTTTTTACTTTTAAGTGTAAACTGGCATCTTTAAAATTCTAACTGAAAAAGTATAGAATTATATGCAATAAGCTATTTTATTTAAATTTTAAAATGTATCTGACAAACTTAATAAATATAGTCTTGAATACTAGAGGAGGATGGGGCAAGAATAGTTAGTTAAGACGTTTTTGAATCTAGCGACCAAACTTGAATTTGTATCTGCAAACGAGTAGTATTTTTGGAGAGCTTGGTTATTTGGCTATAATTTTTTTATACATTATTTTGCTGTAGACTGTAATCCCTACGAGATATGAATTAGTAATTAGTAAATTTTTCGTTTTCTTTATTTTATTGGATTTACACTATTCAATATTGATATATTAAGTATTAACAAAATGTTTTGAACATTTTCTAAATATCAATTGAACCGCCGGCGACCAAAAAGGCTTACGCGTGACTTTCATTGGCCCCGCGTTCTGCGAGTCTCCAGCTATTCCGGGGGCCAATGAAAACCTCGCATTAAAATTCGTCTAAACTAAAATCTAAGATTTAACCAATTTTCTTTAGATGATCACCAATTTCTTGGTCAATAAGTTTCGTTTTCCGTATAATTACGCATCAGTATGTATATCAACCTAAAAAGAACAATTAAACATTTTTTATAAGTTGCAGTCGCATTAGCAGGATTTTATCGAGCCGTAACAGCTCTAACTATCCTTGCCCCATGAGCCCATATTTCAGATTTTTCTAAATTTTAAGGAACGACGTGAATTGATTTGAAAATAAATACGATATTCGTATTCAGCAGGAAATTCCACTCTGGAAAACACTTATGTAAATAAATATTCGGAAGCACTAATATAGAAAACAATATGATAAACACTACGTTGACATTTTAGCAAAACAGACTTTTTAAAAAAATAAACTCCTGACTTCGCAATTGGTGGCAGATTGACTTCCAGTTTTTACTATCATCTATTGGTATTAAGATGCAAATATACCATGAATGACGCGATTTTTGAGCAAGCCGTCTAAGCATAACATCAACTAACTATCCTTACCCCATTCTCCCCTATATACGAGTTGAGACTTTAACCCACATTATGTATTGCAAAAGCTCAATTTTTTTTCCTTTTCAGATGAATTGCAGTAATATTATTTGATTTTATAATGATGGACTTTCACGTGTTCATAAAAACCCGCGTGCACCGTCCACATTAATCGAACGCTAAATACTTATCTCAAATTACGCTGAAAAATACCAAAGGGAGATTCCAACCAAGTCTAACCAACGGTGCATTGATGATCTCAGAACAAGATTAACCATGTAAGAACTCAGCAACGTTGAAATGCTGACACTAAGACGACGTTGCCTGAAGCTGATAAATCCAAATATGATAATGACAAATAACACACATTTAGTTAACAACGAATAAAGATTTATTTAACACATACAATTATTTAAAGAATAATTAAGCGTGCAACGCGATAATCAGTTATGAGTCCCGCGAAAGGGTCTTCCTTTCAATACGAACTAAAATCGACTGCCTATTGACACCGACTTCCCCTAGATCTCCTAATCTGTTAAGAGGGGAGCGCTCCTTGACGGCAGCTCCCTGGAAACCTTAGATAACGACGTTGATAATCGGGCCTTTAGGCGGCACGAACATGCGCAGATCCTCACGCAGAAAAACTGCCAGAACACATGTTCATGGCACGCAGACATAGTCTAAATGTTTAACGAGCAAGAACTCCCTGTACAGGTATACAAGCACGGTCCCCCACGAGACACGAGGTCAAGAGTTAATGCCTGACCAGCACCGATGACGCAGAATTTCTTCCAGTCACCTGCCAATTGACAATGCGACCGACCTAAGTCACGATTGCCACTCTTGGTGAGAGCCGGAACCTTTCCAATCCCTGGAAACTCTGCAGGTTTCCACCCGATTTGAGTTAATGCAACTCACACACCGAATGCGAAAGACGTGTGCACAACGTGCTAACGTACGCTAACCCCAAGCGATGTGGGTTGTAACTACTGCCACCACGAATCCATACCCAATGCCTGGCGGAGACCCGAAGGTCTCCTGGGCTCCAGACACGTCCCGTGGTACCATTCTACTCAGGTATGAGTACCACTTTCCAGTATCCGGGGAACCGGAGGCCATACTGGCGGTCGATTACCGTTTAAATATGACAACATGCACCACATATATGCCAAGACCAACCGGAAGGTAGTGATTTCCGTAAAACTCGGAACTACTTCAGGTCAAGGCAAGTGGCAACACGTGCCGAAGCCACCATTCTTTACCATTAGGCTATTGGAACATCACGATTGAACTATTCGGCATTTTGGGATGCTTATTGACCAATGTTACACAGGTTTGGTAATTGTTGGCAGCGGCGAGATTGATCCCAGAAAAACTCTAAAGCAAACCTCCTCAGACAATAACAGTTTCAAGTATAACACAGCCCACCGTCCTTTACCATTACGGGAATTCACTATCATCGCCGTGGCTTTTGGGACGCATTCTCAATTATCCGACTCGCACGGATCGCATTGAAGACGGACGAACAAATATTTGACTTGCATGAACGCCTTTGCACTGCCAGTCCCTAGCTGGGACTCCGCTCTCGTTCCAGCAGGGGGTACCCTTTAGTCGTCTCTTACGCGGTAACCTACGGTGGCCCTATTCTGATGCCGGGGCCGCCACGGCGGTAAAAACGCTGACAGATACTAATCAATATAAGTAACGATTTACATCGTTACAATTTTTAATTATATTTTTTAATTTTTGTAAATTGTCGTCTTCATAACGCCCCATCTTGAAATTGCCATATGAAATCGTTTATTGTTACCTTTATATAAATCCATGTGAAATCTTTGGTTAATATGGAAGAATCTACTTGAAATCCCATATGAATTTGTACGTTCAATTCCATGTGAAATCATATGAAAGAATCCACATGGAATCTCATATACATAATTTCCTACATTTTTAAAAATTTTATGTATAAGGAAATCTTTAGGGTTTCATATGATATGTTTTGTAAGATTTAATGTGGGTAATTATGAAGGATATTGGCATGGGAAATTTATAATACTATTAAAATGTTAAAAATTAAATAAGAATCAACATGCATTTCTATGTAAAAACTCAAATGAAAATTTCCACAAGATTCAGGAATTTATACTCAAAATTGTGTCTCAATTTCACATACGATTTTTTATGAATTCCTATAATTCTTAATAGGATTCCATGTAAGATCTTATATAGGAATTTTCAGTAGGTGAATTCTTACACGTTTCATATAATTTTAATTACAGATTCATTTATTTTGTGATGGGTAGCTTCATGTAGCTTGATTATTTATATTTTGTTACACTTAAATTTTACAGCTAATAAAAAGATAAAAATGTATTTGCGATATTAATACGGAAATAATTCATGTATTGTTTACTTACTGTAAGAGTAACTAAAGGTAAATAGTGAGATCGATGACAGGATTGCAAATATTGGATCTATGAAGCGAGCACTGTACGAAGAATTAGAAAGATATACTATTAACGAATCCAATATAACAAATATGCAGCATAAAAAATCTCGACACATTTCTCTTATTCCTTTACTTTTGGTCAAAATAAGAGAATTACATTTTCGCAGATCTCTGTCAGTATGCATTGCTTGCAGTTTCAAGCATCTGAAAGTAAAAAATTTATAATTTTTTTAAACTCGATTATTTATGTCTTCATGCCTGGAAATTGAGGAATAATAAAAAAAATCTTTAATAAGACGAAAGTTCTTGAAAAAAGTTATTTTTAAAATTTTATTTTTTGGTTTTTAAATATATTTCAAAATAATTTTTTTTGCAAAATCATTTGATATAGTTATTTATCACCCTAAGAATACTAAAAAATTACACAGAGTACCCACATAGCACCGAAGATTTAATAAATATTTATTAAATATTTATTTTCAATGTTCGCAGTATTTAGAATAAAGGTTAAGTAAAGCTTCTGTAAATATTTAAATTTCCGCACTTGAGCAAATGTTTAGCATGAACCTTGAGTGAAGCTTGAAATTGAATATTCGTTAAAGGTTCGGCTCGAAACTTGAGTGAAGCTTTAAATTAAATATTCGTTAAAGGTTCAGTTCTAACCTTGATTGAAGCTTGAAAAAAATATTCGTTAAATGTTCGCCCAGATAGCTGTATTTTAAAATTATCTAATCATAAAGTATTAATTGTATTAATAATAATAATAATATAATTAAAATAATTTTATCTTTAATTTGAATCAGTTTAATGAATAAATTGATTTAAGAAATTTTAGTTTTCAAAAATGAAAAAAAAATAATTTCTTAAATTTAGGGACTCATACTTGATTAAGCAATATTTAAAGACCTTAAATAACGAAATTAATTTTGAAAATAAATTTGGGGGACCGGGGATCGAACACGGGTTCGAAGAACGCAAACGCAATACCTTAACCAACCGAGATATACGAGCAACTATGATTGGAAAAAAAATCTTGCTCTTAAGCTACAAGTGATTTAACGAATATTTAATTTTAAGCTTCACTCAAGGTTCGCGCTAAACATTTGCTGAAGTGCGGACATTTAAATATTTACAGAAGCTTTACTTAACCTTTATTCTAAATACTGCGAACATTGAAAATAAATATTTAATAAATATTTATTAAATCTTCGGTGCTATGTGGGTAAGTATATATAAACAAAATCATTGATCTATCTAGGTATTCCATTTTTCATGGAATTGTCCTTTTATTAGAAATAAAATTTCTATTTAAAACTTTATACATACCTAGGCAAAATTAAACCAGCTTTAGAGAATTGTAAGTAAATTCCCTGATTCAATGAGTATTCACCAATAAAAATGTAGTATAATATATGTAGTATAATTCCAATAAAACCTATGAACATAACTGGTATTGGATGATGCATAGCATCTAAATGATCAATGTGAATTAATTTTTGTACTGCTTCAATTAAAATAGAGAAACAGAATGAAGCGACAAGAACACAGCATACTAACATTGTTACAATGTCAATTCTTGCCCATCCAAAAGTGCTTCTTATTTGTCTATCAGAAGATGATTTCTAAAAAGATTTATTTTAAAATTTCATGTGTTAATTCTCACTGTTATAAATCGTTCACAATTTTTTTTTATTTAAAAGAGTAGAGCTTAAATTAAATTTATGCCTTTATTTCTATTAGTCAATTTTAATAGTCACAAACGTCAGATTACTTATATCGGATAACATCGTACAGAATTCGGACAAAAAAAGTATAACTTTCGAACAACACCGTATAAGCGGACAAAGTTTTTCATTTTATGGAATTTCATTTATTATAATTATTTTTGCGCCTAATTTTTATTTGTTCGAATTAGTATTTTGCAAAATTTGCATCAAAACGATTTTTAATATTACAGAATTTTTATATAACCGAAAATTTACTTCACAGAATTTTTATTTCTTCAAATTTTAATTTTCTCGAATTTTCATATAACATAATAGGTATTTTAAAGAATTTTTATTGGGTAAAATTTCATTGCATAGAATTTTCATTTTATTCTTTCAGATAAATTTTCATTTATTCAAATTATTATTTGATATAATTTTCAAATAACCAATTTTTCATACTAAAGAATTTTTATAAAATGTCCGACATAATAGAACTATAACATTTTGAATTATAAAAATCTCAGGATAGATTCGTCATTATATATCGTTGTAGAAAGATTAAATTTTATACTTACCTTTGTCGACGCTAAGTATCCAGTAAGAGCTATAATATTACATAGCATGTAATAAGAATGTAGTAAAAGAGTTAAAGAATGCGTAATATAGCTTGCACTCATTTCTATTATAAAGAATGTTAAAGTAGTAAACATAATTATGTATAATTGTACAGGTTTTAATGTTACAATCCACTCCTTAACAGTCATTGTTATTTGAATGTATTTCCGTTTTCAAAATTTCAATTTAATAATATCGAATTAATAGTATCGAATATTTCTAGAAATTATTAAAAGTTAATTCATTGTACTATTTAGTGGAATATGTTATGGACGAGTACACTCAGCTAACATACAATTATACTTTTTTAATTTCTGCAATTTTTCTAAACAACTAAAATTTTTGACACACAATATAAAGATTTAAACATACGAAGAACGAAAATAAAATATACTTCAATACTGCGAGAGTAACAATCGCTACTAAACATATTTTGATCCTACGATTGATACATTACTCAACTATCATCATGATCAACAATGACAGTAATGTGATCGATGACTTTGATAACGATAATAGAGGAATCAATATATTAATTTGATTAGTATTAAAATTAAGAATTCAAAAAAATGACATTAAAAAAATTTTTTTTTTATTTGTAAAATATTTGTTTTTTCTAAAAAAAAATTAAATGAAGGCACCTACTAAAAATGAAAGTGAGTAAGATTCTTTAAGAAATTTTCGGTGCTGTGTGGGTCGGCACGTCAAGTAATTGCGACTATTTAAGTTATTTTGATAAATTTGTATGAAATTAATAATTGTTCATTAAATGTTAAAATAAGAAATCCGAATTATTTTTGTAAAATTCAAAATATTTTTAAAATATTGCAAATTTAAATTTTTTGTAATTTTTTTTTTGATTTATTATAACTTCCGCAAATGTTAACCAATCGGAATGAATTTCTTTTTAAATTACTCGTATTTAGATGCTCTTTTCATGGAAAAAATATTTTAAAAAATTAAAAAATTTTAATTGTTAATAAAAAAACAAATTTAATTGTTTATATAAACCATTTGTAAAAATTTTTACTACGAATTCGTGAATGACTCAAATTTATATAAAAAGGAAAGAAAAAAATTTATTTTTTAAAATCTCAAAAAACAATTTTATTTCAATTTTTCCATTGATTTGAAATTAATGCAGTGAAAATTTTCTAGTGCAAAACAATGATTAAATAATAGTAGAAATTTTCACTAATTTAAATTAGTGTAGAATAAAACTTTTTTTTGAAAACCTCAAAAGATAATTTTTATTTTAAACTTTTTTTTGTAAGAATCTGTATAAATATATTTTAATCGGATTTGAATGAGATAAAATTCAAATATGATGAAAAAGACATTTCACATTAATTCCTTTGAATTTTATATTTTTTCCTTGGGGTAGTCCATAATAAAACTGATATCCATTTTTTTATTCTCTAATAATTATTAAGTGGATTCTTTATCCCTTTATCTGAAAAAATCATTTTTAATCAGAAATTTTTATTTTTTAAATGATCCCATACAGCACGTAAGCTTGTAGCAACCTTGCGGCAAGCTTGCCACGCAATATTGCCAACCTTGCACGGCAAGCTTTAAATGTCCCACCTAATCCAAGCTTGCATTTGCGAAAGATTGCAGTGTAAGGTTACGGCAAGATTGCATGATAAGATTATCGCAAGCTTGCACGGTAAGCTTGTGGCAAGGTTGGTGCAAGGTTGCCAATAACCTTGCCCAATCAGCACAGAAGTTTGCATTGAAAATGAGCACTTACGGCTGCGCAGTAAATTTTTTTACCTCCCAGCAACTGGTGCTCAATGTATGTACAAAAATAAATTCTCCCCCCCCCCAAATTTTTTTGTTATATTCCGCAAGCTTGCCATAAGGTTGCTGAGCAATCTTGCTGCAAGTTTGCTGCAACCTTCTATGCTGTTTGGCAAGGTTATTTGGCAACCTTGTGACAAGCTTACCGTGCAAGCTTACTGAGCAATCTTGCGATAATCTTACTGTGCAAACTTGCCGTAACCTTAGACTGCAATCTTTCGGCAAACTTACCTTGCAAACTTGGGTTAGGTGGGACATTTGAAGCTTGCGGCAAACTTACTTTATTAACATAAAATATTGGGCAAGATTACTTTATTAAAGGAAATTAATTTTTTTTAAAATTATTTTACATGTATTTTTAATAATATATTCTAATCGGACAAATAGATTCTAATAGAACAAAAATTAAAATTGTCTTACCCACCTAAAGATGCTCTTTTTTCTCATTATCAGACACAATAAAATTTATATCTTCTTAGAGTACAAATCGAAATCTTGGCTTGTTAAAATATTTTCTTTTTATCTTCGCTGTTATTATTTCGAGGAGAAAATTAAACAATTATCGAAAGAGAATATCCAGTGATTAGTACACCAAGTAATATGGGTAAGAGTTTTCCTTTTGTAAGTAGATCAGGTTCAAAATTATTACTTGGTAGTGGAGGTTCATTAGGTTCATTAAGATTTTTAAGTAATCCTAATTCTGAAATTCTTAGAATTAATTTATTGAAATAATCCCAAGATGGTAAATATTGTTTATAAAGGTATTTGTCTGATTCGTATCTTCATAGTAGTCTTTATCATTGAAATGATCAGATGTTTTGTTTAACAATTGATTAATAGCAGAGTTTTTAGAATCAGGTAGGAAAGAACGAGTTTTATAATTTGTAACTGGAAACAAAGATGACTGAAGAAGTTCATCGAATGTTGAAATTTTAGGAGCAGTTTGAAAACTGATATCAAGAATTATAGTGTAAAAATAACTTGAATAGGCAAGACATGCAATTAAGAGTGAGCCGAAAATTATTCTTTCTGACCAATACTGGGGTTTATTCTCAGTACCCATTTCAATTATAACCCAAGCAGCACGGTATATTCCTTGAATATCCGTTGAATACCACAGTGGAATATTCTCATGATCTTCTAGGAAAATCAAAATATCCGCATCATGGGAATATTCCATAGTGACATTCAGGGTATATTCCAGTGACATTGAGGGAATATTCCTCGGTGACATTCATGGAATATTCCAGTGACATTAAGGGGATATTCAGGTGATATTGAGAAAATATTCCAGTAATATTGAGGGAATATTCCACGGTTACATTGAATTTTTTTTTAAAATGTGTTTTTAATCTTCCTGCTTATTCAAATAACAATTTATAACACATTTCTATTATTTCAACACATAAAAAAAATTCAATATAACCGTGGAATATTCCCTCAATATCACTGGAATATTCCTTTAATATTACCCTCAATGTCACTGGAATATACCCTGAATGTCACTGTGGAATATTCCCATGATGCGGACATTTTGATTTTCCTGGAAGATCATGGGAATATTCCACGGTGGTATTCAAGGGATATTCAGGGGATATACCGTGCTGCTTGGGAATTTGAATGATATGCAAAGTCTGCCATTTGAATTTTAATAAATATACCGTTATTCGTATTACTACAACTATTCCCATTGTTGCCAGGATCATGTTACAAAATTCTGATCAAAGTTCAATTTTATTGGTAAGTTTTGCATTTCGTGGAATAATATAGCTTTTATATTTAAAAACTGTAGAACATTTGAATTAGAAAACTGGTTTCTAAGAAAAGCTAGCATCTTATCGGACAATAGTTGACATATATCTTTTTTAGACAGTAAAACGTATAATAAGTCATGGATATTTGACTGACAGTTTCTATCTTTCTCTAGAATATTAGTATATATCCTTACAAATTCAGAATAATCCAACTTAAATTGAGAAATTTCCAATGCCTTTCCATTTAAATCCAATAATTTATTTGGAAACCATTGACTTTTGACTGATATTATCTGATAAGAGCAATTATTGGTAAAAGGATTCTAGTGACTATAATAATAGGTAATTTTTCGAAAGTTGATTTGACCGTTACTTTGCGCTCACTATCGTAAGTTAATAAAGTTATTTGCAAATAATATCTATACAATCCATACATGTCATTCATAACATAATTGATGTTATTCTGAGTTGAAAAATTAGAGTTTGCAAATAAACATCTTCGTGTTGATGTATCATGTACTGATAAATTCTTCATTGGAAATATAAATAAAATTAAAGACATGTTAACAAATTCGTCAATCTATTGTATAATAGACAGTACAGTATGTCTGGGTCGTTCAAGAAACTTTAAGTGTTGCCTCACACCGCCCCCACAGCAGCCAATCTTTACTAAAAATTTCGTAAAGATTTCCTTGAAATCTTGGGGATATTTAATTGCAAAGTTTAATAAAAACTGCATAAAGATTTAAATGTCCCACTAAAATAAATGTTTGGCGTAAAAGTTGACTAAAAATTTAAATGAAATTTTCGGGAAATGTTTGGCGTAAAAGTTAACTAAAAATTTAAATTAAATATTTATTAAAAATTTATACCGAAAGTTGAGTGAAAATTTAATTTAAATATTCAGTCAATTTTTGTGACGAACATTTCCTAAAAATTTAAATTAAATTTTCAGAAAAGGTTGGACGAAAATATTTGTAAAAAATACAAAAATAATATTTAAGAAGTATTAATATTATTATTAATATTAATAATAATAATAATAATAGATAGATAGATCTTTATTATTATTATTATTATCAATAAAAAAATTTACTATCTGGGATTAAAAATAAAATAAATAATATACAAACATTGTTGCTCTGCTTTGATTCACATTGAATCAAGCACTGCATGCTTGTTGAGCAAGAACTTTTGAAAACAAATTATGGGGTGCTGCGGATTGAACCTACATTCGCCGCGCGCTAGCTAAAGACCCTAACCACTTTTTTTTTTTTTTGAAAAACGTTTATTTAAAATTTACAATACAAATATATACAAAGAATAACGAAGAATTATTTTCTTAATTACAGAGGTATAAACGTTGAATTACCTTAATATATAATGGTATAAGATCTATGGCTAGGTTAGCACTCGAAGATTGATGTATTACAATTGTAAAAGTTGATGTGACGAAGACATTGTTGTAAATATACGTATATAATGACTTATCAGGCTCGTGGATTAGTAAGCTAGTTAGAATAGTTTATCTAATAAATCTTGTCTTCCATCTGTTTTTTGATGGGAAAGGGGCCTAAAAAAGTTTAGCAAAGAAGTGAAGTATAATAATAAAAAAAAGGCTAATATTTATTTATACTAATGGCGCAGGAAATAGAGATAGAAATAGAGAATGGGTTTGATATATAAATTAAAATTATTCTTAATGTTTATAATATTGTTATAATGGCGTAATACGTTAATAGATATTATTATTTTAATTTTATAATAAGAAAATTATTTATTTATTTATATTTATATTCTTTTTTGTTTTAATTATTATTAATATATACTTTTTATAGTTAATGT